GCCGGGCCGCCCCCGCGCCTCACGGCCGCCCGGTGGCTCCGCAGCCTGAGTAAGCGCTCGGCGGGGCCTGGCGCGGCCTGAGGGAGAGCGGCGGACGGGCCGGCGCTGGGAACGGCCGCGGGGGCCGCTGAGCTCCTGTGGTAACCGCCTTACGCTCGGCCTCTGTTTTTTATTGTCTTGCTAAACTAATTTCAAGTGAACACCCTAAACCCTCCATCGGCCTGGGAAAAATGGGGTTGCAATCGCGCTGGGCCGGTGCCGGGTGTGTTTTTGACTGGGGAGTGTCGCGGTTGTGGTTGGGACACCGTCACGGGTGCCACCTGGCTCCAGAGCCAAGGGCGTGAAAGCAGCAGGTCACACCGGCTCCTCCAGCCCAGGTGAGTATTAAAAACGTGCTGGGGGGAAAGTGCCAGTCCCACAGTGGGCTGCCTGTCATTCTTCTGCCTTTTTTTTTTTTTTTTTCCCATAGAAACATGTCCTGAGAAGCTTCTAGGAACACGTCTCCACGTTGAACACGCACACAGGCCCTGGCAGGGTCATGGCTCCAGCACCGTGCAACCAGGTATTAAGTATCAATTAGCAAAGAAGGGCACGAAATGGCTTTGACGCTTAGGGTTCACGTCTTACGCAGCCTCTCACCGTGTGTCAGGATGTTTTCGTGGCATCATCGTCCATAATTAAAGGCTGACTTTGAAATCCAAAGAAATTAGATTTTCATTATGAAAAAAGCGTTGAGGCAAAAAACTGTGCTCTGTCAGTTGGCCTTTTAAGCAGTAACACAAACATTGGATAGGATTTGCAGGATTCTTTTGCCACTAGAGTGTCTCATTAAAGTTTCCAACACCAGTCTGTGAGAACATACAGCACCTCAAACACCACCTCACAGTGGAATTTGACATCTCACCTTTAAAACAAAAATTAATCATCTTTTTCCACAGAGTATCTTCTAGTTCAAGATTCAGATGTAGCGAGTGTCATTTTCAAACACCTACACCTGCTAATGTCTTGACCTGCAAGTGATTCTTGTTATTACTAATTCGTTTTCTAAATGCATACATTTTTGCAAAGGTTGTTTTTTGAAAAAAGTGTCTGAGAAGACAGCAATCTTCCCATTTTTCCCTCTTCTGTAAGCAGGGAAAAAGAGGAAAAAAAAATTAGCAAATAGCAAAATAGCAGAAAAGTAAGGAAAAAACAATTATTTTTTTTTTCTGTTGTGGAAAATTGCTTGGTATTTTTACTTGAAGTCTTTCAAAGGACTTGATTTTTTTTTTTTTTGGTGATATTTTGAAAATGCCTGTGACTTTTGAAAGTACTTAATCTTTTCACCATACATAGTTTTAATTTATAAGGAAATACAAACTTTAAAAATGTGATAGTATGATGTATTTTCAGCTCCAGAGGTTTGACAGAGTAGTTTATGTCAAACTTTCACTGCTAACTTACAGTGCAGAGTAAGTGTTAATTTTAATAGATGCAAGCACTTGCAAGGATGAAGGCATCTGGCCCAAGATTCTGCCTACACCTTTAAAAGTAAGGGGTTTGCCCACAATGAATAGTTTTACTGAAGGTATTATATTGCTCACTTGAACAAAATCCCTGCATAAGGCTTTACTTATCAAAAATAACTAGCTGCCAATTATAGAAAAGGAACATTGAAAAACCCTGTTCTGGCAAACTTCTCTGGGGTTTAATATCTGCATAAGGTTGTATCTAGAATCAAAACATTCTCTGTCATAAGGGTACAGCGACTGACAGCAACAGCTAAGGGAGTGGGGAGGCAGGGAAGCTGGCTCACAAAATGACAATCTCGTGCAGAAAACTGGAGGATGTGTTGGGCTGCCTGTCCTTGATTCTAATTGCCTGCCATCCAAGGAAGTAGTAAGGTTTTGTGGGAGGATAAATCAAAATCTGTTAGATACGTGACTGGTGCGGTGGTTTTGTAAAATGTTATGAAAAATGGAGATTAGCGTAATTACGGGAACTGAAAACGTAAGTAAATGGTGGTGTACTGAGGAGGAAGAGAGATGCTGTAAGAAAAGATCAGACAACAAGAAGGAAGAATCATAGAATCATAGAATTGCCCAGGCCGGAAGGGACCTCCAAAGGTCATCTAGTCCGACCTCCCCGCAGTCAGCAGGGACACCCCCAACTAGACCAGGTTGCCCAGGGCCTCATCGAGCCTCTCCTTGAATATCTCCAGGGATGGGGCCTCAACCACCTCCCTGGGCAACCTGTTCCAGTGCTCCACCACCCTCACAGTGAAGAACCCTCTCCTAATCTCCAATCTAAATCTGTTCCCCTGCAGCTTGAAGCCATTGCCCTTCGTCCTGTCACTGCAGGCCTTTCTAAGCAGGTTCTCCCAAGCTTCCTGTAGGCTCCCTTCAGGTACTGGAAGGCTGCTATTAGGTCTCCCTGGAGCCTCCTCTTCTCCAGGCTGAACAACCCCAGAAAAAAAATAGAACTAATAGATTAAATTATAGACTGCTGATAACAGACCTGTCCATCCATGAGCAGAAGAATGCGTCCTCCCAAGTGCCCTGGAGTGGTGGTTTGTGTGATGAACAGTTAGGTGGCTCCCAGCTCCCTGAGGTCTCGCCTGCCGCTGGTGGTGCCTCAGGGAGCCAGGGGACACATCTCCCGCTATCCCCCAGCTCCACGCAAGATGGCAGTACTGCGCTGCCAGCCACCCACGGGACTGTCCTCAGCTATTGAGGACAGGTTCAAGCTGGAAGCCTGTAACCACTGGTGTCCCCCAGGGGTCAATACTTGGTCCAGTCCTGTTCAACATATTCATCAGGGACCTGGATGAGGGGACAGAGTGTATCCTCAGCAAGTTTATTGATGATACCAAACTGGGAGGGGTGGCTGACACCCCGGAGGGCTGTGCTGCCATCCAGCGAGACTTGGACAGGCTGGAGAGCTGGGCAAGGAAGAACCTCATGAGGTTCAACAGGGAAAAGTGTAGGGTCCTGCACCTGGGGAAGAAGAATGTCAGGCACCAGTACAGGTTAGGGGTGGACCTGCTGGAGGCAAGTTCTGAAGAGAAAAATCTATGGGTCCTGGTGGACAGCAAAATGACAATGAGCAAGCAGTGTGCTCTTGTGGCCAGGAAGGCCAATGGAATCCTGGGCTGCACAGGGAAGAGTGTGGCCAGCAGGTCAAGTGAAGTCATTCTCCCCCTCTACTCTGCACTGGTGAGGCCACAACTGGAATACTGCATCCAGTTCTGGGCTCCCCAGTTCAAGAGGGACAGGGAACTACTGGAAAAAGTCCAGCGAAGGGCAGCAAAGATGATTCAAGGATTAGAGCATCTCCCTTATGAAGAAAGACTGAGAGAGCTGGGACTCTTTAGTCTGGAGAAGAGAAGGCTGAGGGGAGACCTTATCAATGCTTACAAGCATCTCAAGGGAGGGTTGAAGGAGGAGGGAGCCAGACTCTTTTCAGTGGTTCCCAGTGAGAGGACGAGGGGCAACGGGCACAAGTTGGAACATAAAAGGTTCCACTCAAATATGAGGAGAAACTTCTTCATGGTGAGGGTGACAGAGCCCTGGAACAGGCTGCCCAGGGAGGTTGTGGAGTCCTCTTCTTTGGAGATTTTCAAGACCCACCTGGATGCAGTCCTGAGTAACATGCTCTGACAAGGTCTAGGCAATCCTGCTTTAGCAGGGGAGTTGGACTAGATGATCTCTATGGTCCCTTCCAACTCTAAAAATTCAGTGAAATTCAGTGAAATTAGGCTTCAGCGGAGAAAATTGTGGTTGATGCCTCTCTGCCTCTGGTAAATTTGAGACAATGTAATTTTCGCTCAAAGCAGGTTACTAAAGATACCATCCACCTCACCACTGAGCCCCTTGCAGCCAAGCAAACCATGTTGGTCTGCCCAAGTTTCTTCTTTTCTTGAGCAGGAAGGTATTTCAAGAATGCAGTAGACCTCTGTATTGCAGAGGTCTGGTCTCCATGGAGGGGTTAACATGATGGGGCAGCGGATTTCAATACTATAAGAATAGAGAACGGGAGGAGAAACTGTGGCTGATTGCTACGGAAGTGGGGCTGGTTTCTAAAGAAAGGATTAAGGATTTAGGAAGTAGCAGAAAGAACGGAGGATGGTTTCGGTTAGAGCATAACAGAGCTGCTGTGTCTGATGCAGGTGGAGGGGAGGCAGGTTTGAGCTGCACTAGACTGCAGACACTGGGGTGGAGCCCATCTGCACCCAGGGCTGCAGCTCCTGCCTTTCCTTGCTGGCAGCTGCTTGCGTCCCCACACACATGCTGAACAGTGTGATTTCACTGATTCTGTGAATGTTTGTGGCACCACACTGGGGGACATTGCCTGCCCCCTTCCACTTCCCACGCCCCCAGCCACGTTGCTGCTCTGCGTTTGAGTGGCTGTCACGGGAAATCAGAAACACCTCTGAAGAGCCTCAATCAAATCCGGAATCGCTGTCCTGCTCGGCTGATTCATACCTGCCTTACCCTTCCACCAGTGTCTTGTTACTGCTGTGTTTCAAGCACATAATCACAGAATGACAGAATCTTCTAGGTTGGAAGGGACCTTAAAGATCATCTTGTCCAACCGTCAACCTAACTGACAAAAATAGACACCCGCACAACAAACAAGGAGCATCATCACTAAACCATACCTCCCAGCACTACATCAACCCGTCTTTTGAACACCTCCAGGGATGGTGCCTCAACCACCTCCCTGGGCAGCCCATTCCAATGGCTGATAACCCTTTCAGTGAAAAAATTTTTCCTAATATCCAGCCTGAACCTACCGTGGCGCAACTTGAGGCCATTTCTTCTTGTCCTGTCGCCTGTGACTTGAGAAAAGAGACTGACCCCCACCTCTCTACACCCACCTTTCAGGTAGTTGTAGAGAGCAACTAGAGAGAAAAACAAGAGCTGTGTGAAGTGGTTCTGGTAAGTCTGCTTTGGTACAGTGCCTTATTCATGCTGTGCTGGCACGTCGTCCACTGGGAACTGTTCTCCCGTGGAGTGCAGCACTGTAAAACTAGGCTGGAACATCAAGTTCAAGTACTGCTCCAGGCTACGACCTCCTGACCACCCATCTGTGAGGTCATGATACAGAGGCCACAAGAAAAAAAAAAATCAGGCAACATCACGTATTGCGTAGTGCTGCTGGATTGTTGTCATTTCTGAAGGCAGGCAGTGTCCCATTAGTCCAGAAAGCTAGAGGGTTTGCTGCCATCGCAGAAGGCCTACGGGCAGTCATAAATTGCATTTTGTGGTAATGCAAATCTGGCAGCCATTAGCCAGGCAGTCACATCTACTTTGTTCTTGTCATCTTTTCTAAAAGATTTAAAAGATAAGATGTATTTTCTCTACAAATAGTTCGTCCAAAAATAATTAAATCTAAAAAATTTTGTTTGTGGTACTTAACTGAAAAAAATGAAGTAACCTAAAAAAGGAAATAACTGTAACTTGTGCCAATGCAGATGTTTATTGGATAAATCAGATGTGATTTTTACATTACAAGAAAGAAAAAGGAACAGAGAATAACAGCCAGAAGAAATTTTTGAAAGCAAGAAAGAGTTATTTCTCT